ACAATAAGACAATAAGTGGCAGTGAAATGGAGGGAGCGAAGTTGTGACTACAGGGCGGAGGGTCTTCTGAGGACATCCCTCTTCACAAACTTTTCTAATTGCAATGGAAAGCCAGCTTTCTCACACTGCAAAAACACAGGAGCAGGGTAACTCCAAGTGGGACAGGAGCAAAGAGCTGGACCACCACTGCCACCCAGACATGCCTGCAGTCCTAATCTGCTCCTCGCCAGCCCGACCATTTATTTTTAAAATAGCAAATACACCAGGACAAGGTAGCCCAGTCTGTGGGCTTTTTCCTACTGGGTTGTGCTTCCTGTCAAGTGTTGCATGAAGCAAGATATTTTATACATGTTGATAGTGACTTTTGTCTCAATGGTCTTAATAAGATTTCTTTCATTAAAACAACAACAACAACAACAACAACAACAACAACAACAACAACAACAACAACAACAACAACCCTTCTGTTTCAGTCTCTCGAGTTACGTTTGCTTGACTTCCTGTATTTCGTGCTGCTGAGTATGGCAGCAAATGCCACCTTGTTGCCCAAGAAAGATAACAGGTAGCAAGGTATATTCCCCAGAAATTATTAACTTCCCCCATATCAAACCAAACAAAAGGCTTCTGCTTTTATACAGCCACACACCTCCATGCCAACACAGACCCAAACACAGAGCATGGAAAATATATACTTTTCTGGACTCCGAATCCCAGAATCCCCTAGTGGCTTTGGCTTTGAGGGTCAACGAGTAGTAGGTTGAACAAAGGAGCTTTCCCAGTCTTTATACCTTGGCCCACACTATGACTTGTCAAGGAAACCGCACCCACACCCCTGCTTTCAGATCCTGCTATCAATCCCATGACTGGAACTGATGAGGAAGTAAAATATTTTAGCTCTTACACTTTCCAGGAAAACATACCAGGAAAGTGGGCCAAGCAGCCATGAAAACAGAAAATGCATAATTCCTGCTGCTTGGTGTTAGTGCCAGCTAACACCCCATCTGCATGCCCCTCATGTGAAGTCCACACACACTGAGGGGCACATCCTCAGCCCACCTCCTCCCTCACCTTTTTCACATGGAAACATTTCTGCCGGATCTCCCTGTGATCTAAAAGGCCCCCAAAATTAAGGGCTAGAGGGCTGGCGCCCAGCCTTCCTTGCATGTGAGCTGCGCTCATTTTAAAGCACGATTGAATAAGGCTTGAGGTAAAGTGTAAAATATCTCCTCCCCATTCATAATAATAATAAAGAAAGCAATGGCCTCAAGCAATGGCCGAATGCTGCTTCAGCAGAGAAAATGGCATAGCTTTGCCATGCAATACCTCACTGTTCCTTCCCTGCACCGAGAAACTGCCACCTGGGACATCTGCTTCATTATAGTGCCGGCCCTAAAGCTTGGTTTCTGCCTCAGTTACGGATAGATGTGTATCTAACACAGTTCTATTGGGCGATTTCTTTCTTTCTCTGTTTTGCTATTGTATGACTTTATTGATATCTGTAAGGACTGCCAAACCCTAGCCAGACCTTAAGGTGAACAACCCCGATGACTTTTACTGTGGCCATTCACAGCCAAAGAAGAGGGGACACAATTCCCAGTAAAAGGACAAAAGAGGCCAGGCATTTGTGCAAAATTTGCATTTGCTAATTTTCTGATACAGATGTTAAATTTAGACAGAAAAATATGAATTAAACAGAAATATTTCTCTTCGATTTTTAACATTAAAGTAAAGCAGAAATAGAAATATATTTAATTTAATAGCTGTTTAGTCTGTGGCGGCAGATCCTGACTGTGTACCTGGGTGATCTGTTGTCCAGATTCTAATGGTTGCTGGACCATGTCAAGGTCTTTGAACTCCTTCTTGGGATGTATTGCATTTAACTAGGCTTGGGCTGGAGTACAAGATAATGCTTTTTAAAAGACTTTAAAAGGAGACATGTTGCCACCTAGTAGCCTGTTATCTTGACTGACCACCAGACTGAAAGAAGGAACAGCTCTGGTTTGGGGAGAGAAGAACAGGAAGACTGCAGCTTTGCAGAGGTGGTGGAGGTGGCTAGATTACCTTTCTGGATCAGTCCTGGGAAGAGGGGAAAGATCCTCATTTTAGGGTTCTTCAGTTGAAGCCCAAGGGAGGTGACAAGCGTGGAAAACTGTTAGAATTTATGAAGTGTTCCTCCCGATCTAGGCTGTAACTCAGATGGAACAACTGGGGGTTTGTCCAGCATTTAGAGCAGTGGTTCCCAACCTTGGGTCTCCAAAATGTCCTTGGACTACAGCTCCCAGAAATCCTGATCAGCACAGCTAGGGGTGAAGGTTTCTGGGAGGTTTTGTCCGAGAATATTTGGGGACCCAAGGTTGGGAACCACTGATTTAGGGCGAACCAAAATCAGGAGGAGGATCTACTGGTGGGAAGTAGGAAAGTAAACAGCAGCACTTCTTGGGCATATTTGGTTTGAAAGCATAAATTTTCTCTCTCTTTTGGAAAGATGCCCCAACCTTCTCTTCCCATTTCATGGGGGCTCCGTTCCATGCCCCACAGGTGGAATGGATGGGAAAGGATGATGCTTGTCCGGGACGCCACCATGTCTAGTTATAGGTCTGCTACCTGATGTTAAAAAGCAAAAACCTAAATCATCCAGAAAGATGCAATATCCACCTCACGGAGGTCCTAAATATGAAGAAATCTTGGCAGAGTATTCATCGTTTACGGCACATGGACAGTTCATTAAAATCCCACAGGATTTCTTCTTTTTGACCACACATGCTTTTCAGGGGCAGCTTTTCTAGAATTTGTGCAGAATGTGCAGAAAACGGGTGGCTGTATTTCCCATTTCTGAAAGAGACCGTGCATGCACCTACATATAGAAAAAGCCAAGATTCTCCTTACAGGCAGAGATAGACAATTCTGTGGTTTTCTGATTCTTGCACGCATGCATGAGACAAATGACGATTTCTGATTTATAAGGGTGCAAGAGCAGAAGGTGTTTGTTGTGATGCAGGAACGGCATTAGGCACACGTGTTGGTATTATTCTTCATTACCACTGTTCATATTTCTGAGCTCAGTTTGAGAACAAATGTCCAAGCCTGATGTGCAGAGGTACTTACAGGAATCTTTTTTTAAATTATTTTTCCTCCAAGGTGCTCAAGATTCTCACCCCCGACACACATTTATTTTTACAAAAAGTCTATGAGATAAAGCCGAAAGCCACGTACTATAAGTGGATCAGGGGAGATTTGAACTCAGGTGCCCTGGTCTGGAAATGTAACACGTACTTCTGCCTCGAACTGTGATGCTATTACTTAGTGGTTTTCTTTTAATCATGCAAAAAACCTAAATACGCTCAACCCCAAAACAGAACAAATTTATTTGGAAATACATTTCAAGTAAAAGGGCATGAAATGTCAGGATATATATTTGGATAAATCCAGTGTTAGTCCCAGCTGCAACAGATCTATTAAAATTAATTCAATTAACATTAGTCGTGACAAGCAAGCCCATTTCATTTCCCACTCGTTTGGTAAACAGTGGATTCTGCCTATTGCATCATCGTCATCATCCTCATAGATCTAAAAAACAGCAATATTAGGAACAGCATACATATTGCATCGATATTTAGCAGATATTTAGGTTTTTTGATTGACTGTGCCTGGTGTTTTTGGATGATGATGATTGATGATGATTGATGATGATACCACCATCAAGTCAGTTCTGACTTATGGAGACCCTTTTCAGAGATTTCCAGATAGAGAATACTCAGAAGTGGTTTACTATTTTTTTTTTCTTCCAGGGTTGCCCTGGGACTGTGCAGCTTGCCCAGGGTCACTTAGGCTGGCGCTACTTACACATGGGGGGATTCAAACTACCAAGCTGAAGCTCTGCACCTAGATACGTAAACCACCAAGCTATCCAGTCAACTGCATTGTGTAAAAATGCACAAAACTATTCCATGAAAGTTTCATGCATTTTAACTTCCGTGACCAGAGATCTAGGCATTTTACACCAAAAAAAGTGATACCACGTTTGGCTCAAATACAGTAAAAGAAATTGCCTACTTGACAACAACAACAGTATTATTAATAGTATTAGTATTAGTATTAGTATTAGTATTAGCAATAGCAATAGCAATAGCAATAGCAA